CATGGCCTCAGTCCGGTACCTGCACACTGTCATGGCCTCAGTCCGGTACCTGCACACTGTCATGGCCTCAGTCCGGTACCTGCACACTGTCATAGCATTGGTCGCAGGCATCCTGCTCTTAGAAGAAGGCACAGGGAGAATGCAATGAAAGAGTTGTAGGGAGGGGGAGCACTGTGTGTGGAAAGATGCCCTGTGCAGCGAGTCATGAAGGACGGGCACCGTTGACTGGCACAGATGCGGGCCTCTCTGTCGTGACTGTACATCATCTCTCCTTCACTGATCTCACAACTGCAGGAAGACAGCATGTGATCAGCTGCAGGAGGGTGTCGTGCCGTTAGCTGTGCTAGGATATCAGCTGATAAGGTGATGCAATGGGGAATGATGGTGTGCATTTGGCTGCCTTAGAATAGCATGAAGTCACCTGTGGAAGCATTGCATGCATTAAACTGTGCCAAGCCAGTGTACAGTAAGGTGGGGGTGCTCAGCATTCAGTCAGCAGTGAAAGGGTACAGACAGAGACAACCGAGCAGGTAGGCGGCTGTGGAAGGGCTGAGTAGGGAAGGACACTCCGCTTAGTGTGCAGAGTCTAGGGGAGGCATTGAACGAATACACAGATGACACTCAAACTGAGCATATTAAGCAACAGTGCGGTAGGACTTCAAAGAGGATCACCGGGGGCTTCACAACTAGCCAAGGTTTGACCTGCACTTAGTGTGAATTGTTCATGCTTGTTGATGATGATCGTATGAATGCTAATTCCACTTATTTGATCAATCGTGACCTGCATTGGTGGCAGCACTCAGTATTAATTCCCCGAAGTACAAGGACATGGTTCAGCCTGTGCTCTATCGCTGCCAATTCGGAATCAAATGCTCCTTGCTGCACCATCCATACACTAAGCACGGGCAGTACTGGCGCTACAGCAATTTAGCTCGTTGGTGATTGCAGTGCAGAAGACAGTGAGAGGGGCTCTTACAGCAGGGAAATGGGCACCCTCCTCTGCCTATTTGATAATAGCTGCTTTTCCTTCCTTCCTTCTGTTACAGCCTCCCCCCACCCCCTCTGCTCTCAGAACCTAACCCCGCCCCTGTCTGCCTCCCCCCCAGACGTGCTGCCTGTCGGGCAGGGAGAGAAGACAGGCACCATGATGTCGGATGGCGCCATCTACAGCAGCATAGACTTCACCACCAAGGCCAGCTACCTTAGCCCCAGCCAGGGGTCCCAGGCGACGCCCTACGCCACCACACAGATCCTGCACTCCTCCAGCATCCACGAGCTCTCCGTGGAGCTGCCAGACAGCCAGTGGAAGGCCTCTCTGCAGGCCAAGCAGGAGATGACCAACCTCGGCTACTCGCTGCCTGACAAGAACTCCGGCAACAACAGTGAGTGAGGCAGGGGGTTGGGGGGGGGCACTTTCGGCCTTTGTGTGTGTGCGTGTGTGTTCCTGAATATTGCTACAGCTACAATGAGCCTGTCTTCTGACTTCGGGTCAGTAACCCATCACCTGTGCACTCAATGGTGAAAGACGCCACCCCCCCCCCACACACACACACACATACACTCACACACACTCCGTACACACCATCCCATCTCCACACCCCCCCAGCCCTCCACCCCATTTTCTCCAATTAAGTGTGTTTTCCTGACAGCCAAATCACGCTTAGGTTTCTGATTCTGCGGGGTGCGATGGTGGGGGCCGCTGCGTGCAGCTTATTCTCCGATGTTTTGCAGGGTGTCTTTGGAGCACGAGCCGCTTGCTGTGAGAGCAGCCTCACTTAAACACCCTTACAAAGGCAGAGAAGGAAGCAAGCTGATTTATTTTGCCCTTTGTCTGGGCAGACGTCCTCCTCCACGCCAGAGCACTTTTCCCTGCTCTTGTTTCTAGACTGTTTTAAAAAAAAAACAATTGCAGTAACGTCATTACATGCAATATAAAGCTACCTTTCGCCCTCAAAGACCTTTGAAAAGCCAATGAGTTTTCAAGGTCATGACTAATGAGTATTGTAAAGCTCTGTTTATATTTATGCATGTAGTTTCCAAAGGTCTGTAATTGATTAATTACAGTTTTGCCATGCGTTTCTAATGCAATCCGCTTGAACTGGAGTGTTGACTCCTTCCTCGGTCTCCTGCATTGTTTTGAAAATTGAAATTAGATGGAACTGGAAAGATAAACGGCACATTCATTTGCTTCATTCCTGCATACATTCGATTTCTAAATAATTCTTGAGAAATGTGAGAAATGTTTTATTCCTGCTCAGGTCCCATACACCCCTCTCATTTGCCACTTTTGTTTGTGTTGGGTCAGTAACAGAAATGGCTTAGCCACGCAGACACAGGGAGCATGTGTGTTTGCTTGGTTGTGTGTGTGTGTGTGTGTGTGTGTGCGCACATATGAGAGAGAAGTTCTTCTTCCCCCACAGCTTGCCTGATGCTCTAACTGCATGATCTGCATGTGCTTATGCTGCTAGCCAATCACCTGATGCCACTGTGATTTCTACCCTCTAACCCCTCCCCACCCAGCGCTTCTTTTCATTCCTGACTACCGATTGGCTGAAGGATTGTCTAATAGAATGCCACACAACCAATCACAAGATTTCAGCACCACCAGCTCTCACAACAGCTCAGAGCGGAGCGGCAGCCTATCAGGTTGGTTTCCCATGGGTCAAGAGAGGGCTCTGGTTCCTGCTCTCTGACACAGAGTATAGCTAAGGCCTGCGCTGTGACATCACGGGTTGGTTGAACCAATGGTCTGCATGCACAAATGAGCACATGCTTCACTAAAAACTGTATTAACACTACCCAGTTCCTTCCTCCTCCCCTATTGGCTTTAACCTGTATTGTACTCATGATGCTACTGCAGTCAGAAATACGTTTTTTGGCATGGCAGGTTGGTAGGTCTGCTTTTCACAGCCAAGGCTTTTTTCAAAGTTGCTGCATTATTACGACGCTAGGCTAAAGAAGAACAATTGTTAATTCCATTGTTTTGAATTCATTTTTGGGACATCCTTTGGGGTAGAGAATAAAAATGCCATGTGCTGTTTTATGAAGTATTAAGCATTAAGAAATTGTGGCCTTAGCATTACTTCACAGAAACCTGACGTTGACTGTTTCACGGACACTGGAGCTCCTTGAGACTTGGGATGTAAAATCCAATTCAGCAGTAATTCCTTTTGTCTTTTATGATCCAGTTAAGTACTGTGTAGGGTTAGGGTTAGGGGTTAGGGTTAGGGGTTAGGGTTAGGGTCATTGTGTAACGTGTTTAAATAGAGTGTTATTGGATTCTTGTTAGCATGATAACAAAAATATTTGAATTTTTTTTTCGCAGACATTCTGAGTGAAGATATGGAACTGATTTAAATTTGAGACAAATCACACTGAAACTGATGCAGTGACACTTAGTAATAGCGAAGAAAAAGACAGCCTTGGACACTTATCCTGTTAGCACCTGTTAGTATCTGATGGGTCTTTTTCACACTTAGCAGACCCATTCTATAGATGAAGATCATGATAACTCAAAAAGTATTTGATGGTATAGGATTTGATTTTATTATCACTTCAGAAAAATACATTATATCTATCAGATCTACATCTGGCTTCATTTTGAGACAAATTCCTGGGCGGTACAATATTGAAGCAGCAGTGCCAGCAAAGGATGGCTGCAGAAGGCCCTTGAGTTTCCATACCCGTTTGGTGATGGGACATACATCATACACACCTATAGACAGTTTGACACCTGCTTGGTGATGGGACATACACCATACACACCTATGGACAGTTTGACACCTGCTTGGTGATGGGACATACACCATACACACCTATGGACAGTTTGACACCTGCTTGGTGATGGGACATACACCATACACACCTATGGACAGTTTGACACCTGCTTGGTGATGGGACATACACCATACACACCTATGGACAGTTTGACAACTCCAATTCATCTTAGCTTGTTTTTGAATTTTGGGGGGAAACCTGAGAACTCAGCGGAACCCCACGGCATCACAGGGAGAACATGCAAAGTCCAAATGCATAGAGCCGGGGCAGAGACTCAAACCGTGGCCTTCAGAGATGTCAAGCAATTATGTTAGTCACTGCATCACTGTGCTGCATCTTGTGAATACTGTAAATCTATTTACTCCATGAACCTTCTTCAAACTTTGGCAGGAATATTGGGAGGGGTCATGAGATGATTTTCTAAATATGCAAAAAACGTTTTTTCTTATTCTTTTCATTTTGCAATCCAGCAAAACCTATCATTAGCAATCCCTGGGGAACCTGGAGAAATTTATAGCGCCCATCCCCCCCGCACTCGACAAATCTTATCTATTGCAGTACATTAGCTGGTCAGCGAAATTTATCATGGGGAATCCCCCCGCTCAGCAAATTCAGTCGTGGAGAAATTGAATTGTGTCACTTAGTCTTACTCCTAGTCAGTGGAGGCACATGAAAGAACCAGCACAGATCTGGTGAGCCTGATTACATTAAGATAAGGCACACAAAGTTGGGCTTTTAATAAAGATTTTTTGGTGAGATGGGGAGTGTGTAGGGTAGGGATGGACGGTATTACGCTAATATTTTTGGTGGATCGAGGTCTTTTTGTTTTGCAAAATTCACCATGGGGACTCGCCTTTCAAAGTCAACATTGGAACAGCATTGCCAGTAGGAGGTTGCTAAGGAGTTACTAAATTTGTGCTTGTTTTATAAGGTAATGTTGGTGCTCTCTGATTGGCTGGCTGCAGATGACACCCCCTGCTCAGGGTTTGAAACAGCAGTTTGGCTGCCATTTTCCAAAGGCCATAAAATAAGCCGTCTAATTTCCAATGTGTCTTTTTAATGGGTTCTTCCCGATGCACTGACTGGTTATGAGGGCTTTGGGGAATATCTACGACCACCCATGGGAGAGTAGGGTCTGTAGAGCCTGTATATTTTTGGAGTGGTTAATTTGGTTAAAAATATTTTGGTTATAATCACATTCCTATATTATTTTTTTTTGTCTGCTAGCTGGGTTCCAGCATTAGAATAACACCTGTAATCCATCCGTCCATTTTCCATAACTGCTTATTCAGTATTGGGGTGTTGTGAGCCGGGGGCCCATGCCAGTGGGCGCAGGGCTCTGGATGGGGTGCCAGTGCACTGCAGGGACCACAGACACTCTGTGTGTGATTCAAACCCTGGGTCCAGTAGGTATGACAGTACAGTGCCTCCCACCACCATAACATGTAAAAATGTTAAACTCTGACTGGCTTTTTTTTTTTTTTACTCAGACCATAAAACAGTAAATTATGAATTAGAATTAGTTTTTTATGGTAAACAAAGTGAATATTGAATATTTAAAAGTTTCAGAATGTGCTGAAATATTAACTTCATAAAATGTGACATATCAATGCTAAACAACAGAATCTTAAATGAAAACTGCTATGGTAAAATATTTAGTTACCTTTAATTACAATTCTTTCCTCCATTTACTTGCATGTCCATCTGCCACAGTGTAGAATCACCGGTCTTTGCAGCCAGTGGAGAGCTGAGAGGCGCCCTCACTGCATACCCACCTGTTGCACTTTGTGCACCTGCCCAGTGTCCTACCACTGTCACATTTAGCCTTTTGCTGCGATTGCTGTCGCCCCCCAAGTGGCCGCTCCCCCTGCTGCTTTTCCTGAAGCATACTCCAGCATACTCCAGCATTGCATTTTTTTCGCTAGCGTAATGCAGAGTACTGCACAGAGAAGCAGTACTGACCTATGTTTCATTTCATTTTTCTGGCCAGACTGGCCTTTGTATGATACAGTTTCTCTGTCTGGATCAGAGGAGCTCTCAGGAATTCAGTCGAGATTTTTTTCCTGGTTATAGGATTCTGGGGTGGGTGGGGCAGTTTGATCAGGCAATGTACCCTTTAAATTTTAAAAGTCAGGAATAACTTTGTTTAAGTAACAAATTTTAAAGAAATTGACATTTCCCCTGAAGCCTGCGGCAGAGAGGTCAAATGGAGCCCAAACCTTAGGAAGTTATAAAATATAAAGATTTTTATTTGATTACATTTTATGAATAGTATTTGTCATGACAATATAGATCTGTACTCATCAGCTAGATTGCCATTTTATTGTATTGCATTTGTATTGTATATGATGTACCCCCCCCCCCCC